ACGCGCACCCCTTAACCTTTACCTTGGTTCACGACCGCCACATTTTCAGGGCCTTCGCTCTTACTCTTAGCTTCGTATACTACTCGACATCATGATTTTCAGCCGCGCACTTGTGGCTTTATCGCTATGCGCCAGCGCGATTGCAGCTCCCACGTAAGTGTTGTCTACGATGCGGCGGAATACGTCTTTCCACTTCCGGCTGAGGCGTGGCAACTCCCGCACTCACTACTCTTTCCCTAGCAAAGTTTGCTTCAAGCAGCTGCTGATATATTTCCAGTGAGAAACGTGGAGTCGACTTCGCTTGGGGGTCGGAAAAGATTCGTGGTGTCAACATTGGAGGATGGTTGGTCCTGGAACCGTAAGCTACCTTTGACTTCCGATAACTTGAGGATGTGTTACTAAGTATCTCCACACAGTTGGATCACGCCCTCGATCTTTGACGCAGCAAACCAGGGTCGTCCGGGGGATATAGTTGACGGTAAGGGTTTCCCGCAAGATGCGACAGGGTTAGAAGCTAATGCTTCACAGAGTTCACCTTGTGCGAGAAGCTTGGGCATGACGCAGCACTTAGTATCCTCCGCAACCACTGGGATACGTGGGTTAGATGGGAAGACTTCAACAAGATCAAACAGTCCGGCTTCAACATTGTTCGTATTCCTGTCGGCTTCTGGGCATACGACACGTTCGGTTCGGCTTATGTCAGCGGTGCAGCCGTCTACATCGACGCCGCTATTGATTGGTCGCGAAGCCTAGGGCTCAAGATCATCATTGACCTCCATGGCCTACCAGGCTCGCAGAACGGATTCGACAACTCCGGCCAACGGATGGACAAGCCCCGCTGGCAAGAAGGCGACACAGTCGCGCAGACTCTGCAGGTTCATCGGACCATCGCGCAAAAGTATGCGCAAGCACAGTATCAGGATGTCGTCGTTGGCATTGAGCTAGTCAACGAGCCTGCATTGTACAACGGTCTTAACCGGGACGTGCTTGCACAATTTTACCGCGATGGCTATGGCCAGATCAGAGAGGTTTCAGATACCCCAGTGATCCTTTCCGATGGTTTCACGCCACCAAACACTTGGAATGGTTTCCTCACCCCCGGGGATGCGAACGCGGTGAACGTTGCTATGGATCACCACGAATATCAAGTTTTTGACCCCACCCTCCTTCAAATGTCACCTTCCGGCCACGCATCATACGCCTGCAGTAACTCTGACACGTACAATGGCGCGGACAAATGGACTTTTGGTATGTGATCAGATGACCGAACTGTTTCTTAAAACTTGCTGACTTGCATTGCTTTTAGTTGGAGAGTGGACAGGAGCCATGACGTAAGACAGCCCTCACCTTTGTGACACGTGAGACCCCTACTGACACCGTACCAGAGATTGTGCAAAGTACCTCAACGGCTACGGCCGTGGCGCCCGTTACGACGGCACTCTCGCCGGCAGCTCCTACATTGGATCTTGCGCCTGGCAAAACAACCTCTCAACCTGGCCAGCTTCCTACAAGGACGACTCTCGACGTTACATTGAGGCCCAAATCCAAGCCTTTGAGTCCAAAACTCAGGGCTGGTTCTGGTGGAACTTTAAGACAGAGGGTGCGGCTGAGTGGGACGCTTTTCGACTCATCGACGCTGGTGTCTTTCCGCCGATCAGAAACGGGCAGGTGGAATACAAGTTCGGCACTATTTGTTAGGAGCAAACTGGGACGGTGACTTATCAGCCTCCAGGTAATTGGACAAAACCATGCATGGGTACAATCCTGGATAGGCGAGGGGCACATTTATGAGTAACGACTATGCACATTGTTCAGCTGATTGATGAGATATATGATAAATACTACATCTGCACATACATAGCGCTAGCTTCCAGAGCTGAAGTATTCTGCATCATGTGAGTAACGTGGGCAAAAGCAAGTAGGGCGAACCACCGGAAAACATGCCATCGCACGATGTGAGCCAACGGTCGCACCGCTTCCGAACAGTACGACGTTCCAGCTGAAAGACTTACCGCCAACGGATCACCTTATGCGAAATGCGCACAATGGAACCGCGCCAATGGATTCAGCTTCTCCACAGAAAAACAACGTTGTCGGCCCCAGTTGTTCCCCAGATTCCCAGCCAAAAGGCACCCCGTGCGAACCCACAACCAGGAAACCACACATATTCTCCCTACCGGCGTCAAAACTACTACCGAAAAGTCTTGGATAGTGTGCATATGGACTGTTTATTACGATAAGATCTGCAGGCCAAGCTTAGTGGCTGAATAGATTGGAGTGCGCGAGGAAGCTATATTGCAGTACAGTGCGGGGAAAAGTCTTGGATGCGTCCTATGCCAATACCACGCCAAGCGGGTGATTAGAACATGTGTGTTAACACACCATGCCGCCATTATGCATTACAAAAGGAAGCGCGCATCCTACTTTGCTTGCTGGCTACCTTTTCCAGTCCGTCCGGTCCAAAAACTTCTCCTGCGAAGAAGTCGGCTTGAAAGAACCTCGCCAAGATGGATACAAAACACCAACCTACCGTTGAGCCGACGGACGAGAAACCCGTGGCTGTGGCGCACTTGGAAGACAAGAGTGAGCTTGGTCCCGATAAGCATGCTGGCGCGGTGGACTATACCGGCGCGGAGGCGAAGACAGATCCGGAAGAGATTGCACTTGTACGGAAGATCGACTGGAGACTGATGGTAAGTTATAGTGGGAAAGATTGAATCGGAGCGAGAAAGATGTGGTTGGCTAATGTGCATGGGGTACAGCCGACTTTATGCGTCATGTACTTTTTGAACTACGTTGACCGCAATGCTATTGCGCAAGCACGTCTGAACAATCTAGAGGAGGACTTGGGAATGTCTGGAGTTGAGTTCAACACTTGCGTTAGCATTCTCTTCGTGGGCTACGTCTTGATGCAGATCCCGTCGAGTGAGTATCTTTACCCTGTCCGCGATTGATAGGAAACTGATGTGTACAGATATGCTCATCACAAGGATAAGACCTGGTATCTACATGAGTACGTGGATGTTTGTCTGGGCAATTGTATCAGCTTGCACAGCGCTGGTGCAGAACTTTGGTGGACTGGTCGCATGCCGGTTCTTCCTGGGTATCACTGAGGCGCCCTTCTATCCTGGAGCTACGTACATGCTCTCCATCTTCTACACGCGGAAGGAAGTCGCAACACGTATTGCGCTGCTTTACTGCGCGCAAATCCTGGCTACTGGGTTTAGTGGCTTGATTGCTGCTGGCGTGTTCCAGCTAGATGGCGCAAGGGGCATTGCAGGATGGCGTTGGCTGTTCATAATTGAAGGGGCGGTGACGGCATTGGTGGCCATCTGGGGCTTCTTCATGCTACCCAACACTCCATTGACTACCAGTTGGTTGAACCCTAGAGAACGGGAACTCGCCCATGCGCGTATGGAACGCGACCGCGTTGGCGACTCTACAGAACCTGTCAGTATGATGGAGGGACTGAGACAGGCGTGCCGCGACAAGAGGACTTGGTTATTCTGTCTCATGCAGAACTTCCATCTCAGTGCTTGCTCGTTCAACTCCTTTTTCCCAACGTAAGTGGACCTGAATTCACACCTGTTCTAGGAAAAAGCTTACTGATGGCGATGATAGCGTGGTCAAGACTCTCGGCTTCAGCACCACAATCACTCTGGTGCTGACATGTCCTCCCTTCCTGCTTGCCGGCGCGGCAGGTATCGCTACAGGCTGGAGTTCAGGACGCATGCATGAACGTACCTGGCACATCACCGGCGGACTGCTGGTCGCCATTGTTGGATTCGTCATCGCTGCCAGTACCTTGAACACTGCCGGCCGATACGTCGCGTGCTTCATCTTCCCCATTGGCGCCTACTCCGTCAACTCCGTCATCATCGGCTGGGCATCTTCGACGCTCAGCCAGACGAAAGAGAAGAAAGCCGTCGTCCTTGCCATGACAAATGTCGGTGGCCAGATTGGTAAGTTATGGCTTGTACCAAATGCAATGCGAGACATACACTGACTTTGCATCTTCACATCTGCAGGTTACATCTACGGTGCGTACCTCTGGCCCGACACGGATAAGCCAAGGTACGGCATTGGATTTGGCGCGTCCGCTGCGTTTGCGCTGTGCTCGATTGCTTGTGCGTGGGCGATTCGCATAATGCTCATCAAGGAGAACCAGAGGCTCAAGGCGTCGACGAATGAGCGCGTCAACTTGTACGGATACTGATGAGGTGGCTGGCTCATGAGCTGTTCCTACACATTGGAGATGGCTTCGTTGCTGTCATAGAGATGGGCTGTTGGGGTTCGTGATATATCAAAAGCCAATGTACGTGTGGTACGAGTAGGATGCCTACCCCAATCGAAACATAGCCCCATCTGTCTACATACATTCTTTGACAATGTGCATCGTACCCATCAGTGGTATCTGAACCTGTTAGTAAAACAACCTGAACTTACGAGGCTTCCTACCACATTCGGTTGATATTGGGGATGTGATGATTTTATTGTGGGGGTTTGAGTCTTCATCTCGAGAGTTGGCGATGATGCATGCCATGTGTGATTAGTCTACGCGGCGAGACTTGGAAGTAGACGCTATAATCGTAGATTAGAACAGCAGGCCAGAATCAATAGTCGTCAAAATCAGCTTAAAACAAAACAACGATTAGCCTAGGACTACATCAGATCACGCGCCAGCCGTTTGCGTCCTCTGACCTATACTCTTGAAAATCTTGATACCTGCTAGTCAGTAAGAATGGGCGAACTCGTCGGTTACATCCCGTCAGTCACTGCAGCTGGCAAAAGTCAATACACCCAGATACACAATACTTCCCAGACCTCATTCGAGGAGAAACCACTATCATTACCTCTTCCTAGAGATTGAAACCCCGCTATGCAAATATCAATATTACGCCTGGCTCACCAAATACCTATAGAGCTTGATGCAAGGAAACGCTAGATGACAAGAACAAGAACAACAACGACAATATTAACAAAGAAACTTCCAATTGGTTCTATAATGAAGACTGGGGTGTCCAGTTCTTGTAGAGACAGGAGCACAATGTGCTGGCATCCTGAGCCTTGAGCTTGGCGTCATCGCCGGATGAGCTCGTGCAAGCTGGTATCCCTTGTCCACCTGCTACACTTTGTTCGATACGTGCGGCTACGTTGAGTTAGTTGATGCTCGTGCTATGCGCAGAGGAAGTTGATGCTTACCGTATGGCCATGCTTTGTTCGCGACCTTTCCCACAGCGATGGTGTCGTCTGGATACGTCTGCTGCATCTTCGTGTACAGATACCCGTTCACGTTCGTCGCACCGTAGTCGCACTCAAAGTCGCCCCTCTTGTTTCCAAGACTACCAGTCACGTTGACAGTCTTTGACCGCGAGATCTGGAACCTGTATCGCTCCGTGTCCTTCCCTGAGTCTAACAATTCGAGATCTTCATTTTGGAATGTAGTATCGAACGTGTCGTCTTGTGCGCCGGACGATATCTTATACGAGCCTGATGAGCCGCTGATGTCCCAGTTGAGGATCGTGAGAGCTTTTTGTGGATCGTCGTAGTAATTTGTGTTTGGCGGGCAGGTCCAGGTATCGGGATCCGCGGTACATCCGGTGTTGACGGTGTCGAGGAACAGTACAAGCGACCAGCTACCGACTGGGAAGTTCGAGGGGACAGCGGGTGAGGAAGAAGATGAGGATACGGATGAGGGAGAGTCGGTGGCGGTGGGTGAGTTTGAGTCGGAGTTGCTGTCTGATGCAGGTTTGCTGTCGCTACCAGCCGATGTTGAGCCGCCTGTAGATGTGGAAGCTTCAGATGAACTGCTACAAACGTCGTTAGCCTCAGACGTCTTTGTGGACGCCAACTGGAATATCAACATACCTCTTGTGATCCTTCTTCAGTCCCATGGCCAGCCCAACGCCCAAAGCCACAATCAGCGCAATGATGATAGCGGCAACTACAGCAATCTTCTTCCATCCCCAGGCACTGAGCCCCCGTCGTCTTCGTTGCCGGACGTGTCCAAACTTCTCTTCATCTCTATCACTCCATACGCTGACACTAAGATTGCTCCCATTGTGTGGTCGGTCCTCGCTGCTCTCCCTCGGCGTGGTCAGTCTGCCGCCCGTCAACACCGACATAAAGCCACCCTTCTTCTCGTTCCTGTGCACATGTCCATGCTGTACCGGTCCGACATGCTGATGCGATGGGTCGTTGCAGAATGTACTTTCGGTGGTGACCTCAATCTTGGCCGTCTTGGACGGTGTGGCCGCAGGTGATTTGCCGCGTTTGGCTTCGAGGATCACGGAGAGACGCTGGCCAGCCGGTGTCGAGATGCGCTTTGCCGGCCGGTCATCCTCGGTAGGATAGTATGATTTGGCGCGCTTGGAGCGAATGAAGTTCATTAGGTCGGTGATGGCACTGGTGAGCTATATTGCTTGTGAATCGAAAGGTGTAATGCTGTTCCGTCCGGCAGAAGAAACAGTCGACGTTCTCGCAGCTATGATCGCTCGTGCGGGTGGCTTGCCGCTATATCGCGCACTATAGCTTGGGAGCGGACGGGTGAAGATAACGAACGACGGTTGAAGTGAGTTGAGAGTCAGAGGAAGATATCAGGAGCTATCCTGTCTCCAGCCGTGAGGTACGACACATCCGCTTGCACCATGATGGCAAGCGAAAGCTTGTACGGGGCGAATCTTGTTGACATGTTCCTACTAAGGCCTCGAGCACCTGGCGTCTGCGCTCTATCACGCGCTAATGACCGTTATAGTATCGAATTAAACCGAACATGGCTAGAAAATCATCCCATTCTCCTGACCATCACTCATGTCGCTGGTCATCGGTGGAGCGCGCTGGAGCTGCACGGTGCTGCGTCGGGAACGGGTGCGCCATGGATACAGTAGCTGGTGATCATGGAAGCTCGTCGGGAGCTTTTGTGAAAAGGGACAGGATGGTGGCGTGCTTCACGGCCTGGGGTTCAGTGGGACACATTCATTTCCTGGGTCAGATGGAGACATCATCGCTGTGCCGTCTTCTAGACGTTGTGTCGCACGAGCGAACTCTGTTTGTGGCGTCGTTTCGCGTCCTGAGGTGTTTTTTGTTTTGGAGGATTTATTAGGGGCTGTCCGCTAAGTTCCGTGTTCCTGGTGCCTGTGCCTGCATTCGGCAGCAGGGATCCGCGCCGAGGGATCTGGATGGCAAACCGACTGGACCTCAACTCCAGGGTCTTTCACGTGCCGGCCTGTAAAGGTGAATTTGGATGATATACTCACCGTGTGAGAGAGACAGCTGGAGTGTTCGCTGTCTTTGATGTTTGATGATTGATGAGTCACGCTAGCTGCCGAGCACGCCTTCTTCACGCGTCCTCGCTCTCACTGCGTACTTTCCTCACGCGTCTGAAGCCGCAAACGCGACTGCCTGCAAACATGCTCTCGCCTACCGTCTTCTCATGACGTCTGCAAACACGCTTTAATTAAGAACTCTCCCAGAGCCTACGTAAGTATCTAAGCCGCCACATGTACGCAGTTCATTGCGGACAATCTCCCTACACCAGAAACCCAACATGCCGTCCAATCGGGTTGTAGTCCGACTCGTCCCTGGCTGCTCTGATGGCGATCCCCTTCACGTCCCCGCGCCGGGGATGTACACTCGCGTCGATCCTCCAACTCTATATCTAGAAAAAATCGGCCGACAATGGATGGAAGCTCGCAAAGAGGCTCGGCCAGGGGTCCAGTACATCCTTGAAGCTCTGCCATTTGGATACTCGCTATGGCAGCGTCCGCGACCCTCCAACCCAGCTCATGTCGATCGCTATCTATATGGACATCCTGGAAAGAAGCCTTTTGACTCTCCAAATCGCTTCTTCCCACATTTTGAGTATATGATGGAGAACGACGGGATCGGCATGGGTTGTCCGTGCAAGGTTTGCAGCGGCAGCGTAGGCGTCCTTCCCGGAGCTACACCAAATAGCTCGCGGACGCGAACACCGAGTGTGACCTCGCAGAAGTCTAATTCGTCCGCACCGATTTCGAGTCGCCCTTCCAGCTCTCGCAGTGTTCAACCTAGCGCGCTTCCTAGCCTAGCAGCACAGCACAAAAGGCGCCTGAAGAAGATTACGCCAGGCCTAGATAAGAGCAACGTCGATGGTGAGGGAACTCCGGACGTCTATCGGAATCTCATTGACAAGCTCCGCCGAGACCAGCACGTGGATGAGTCTATTGAAGAACCGTTAAGTCCAGACTGGAGAGCAGAGCAAGAATTGCTCCCTAGATTACTTGATGATATCAAGACGAACGAGCAATGGGTACCACGCACCGGTGACATTGTCTTGTATATTCGCTACATACCCGACGGTGTTGATCTAGTTCGAGACGAAACCGACACGAAAGAATTCCGACTGTACGATGAGCGTCGTGAGAACAACCTGGGTGCTCCGCAGTGGGTGGCCGGTCTTGTCACTGAGGCCGCCACTGGTACTACGATTGCCGACCTTGTCGATTCTGATCAGCAACAGAATGTGTCGAACACAGGCGTGCGGGTTGAGCCAATTCCAGACCCAAACAACGTGAACAAATCTCTTTCTAAACAGTAAGCAGTGTCCCTGTACAAAATGTATGTGAGACAAACACTGACTTCGTAAACTCAACTTCAGGCACAAGTATGTACCGCTACGACAAATACGCCCGTTCGTCCTTTGGGGTGATCTGTTGCGCCGCATCCCTCAAGAGAATTGGCACGTTAGCATTAAGAATGCCTTAGCTCTGTCATCAACGCTCTCTCTTGTGGGTAAGCACCGCTTCCGTGGGACTTGGCCAAACACAAGCATCTATTGCCATGGCATCTACATCGGCGCTGAAATGCTTGGTGTTGGTGACACCGTCCGCCTGTTACCCAACAAGCGCCAGTCTAAGTGCACCGATGTCTTGAGCATCAAGTCTATCCGACTGAAATGGACCAATCTCGAAAAAGCGTCCACCAACGACTACGATGAAGGAAGACCATACAACTCAGAAGTCTGGATATATGGATCTGCCTATACGAGCGACAGCTCACGCGGCAACAAGCTTTGGGTCACCGAGCAAAACGTTGAAGGTAAGTTCTGACTATACGAAATGCACGAGCTATGCGCTAACTTCGTATCTTCGCTTTCGCAGCTCCGCGTGTAGCACTTGATTATGCGGAATGGTTTCCACTACACCCAGCAGACAAGGAACTCGCGATCCCTTACTCCCGCGTCCTCGGCCGCCTGTACGAGCGGGATCCCATGGCATACTTTCTCAAGTCCGATTATGGCGATTTTCCAACGCTCGATGTTGGCCGACAAGCTGTAGTAGAAGCCCGGGCTTTTTCACGAAAGCATGACCACCGCATAGCGAAAGAGCCTGGTGCTACATGGTACTGGGGCGACAACCGCGCTGACGCGCTGAACCTGAAGTTTGTCAACGGCCGAGAGGTCTCAAGATTCGACCCAGACCGCGACGTCAAAGACCTCCGTAGGCAGCTGCGGGTTCTTGATGGCGTGGCGAATGGTGAAGCAAAGCCTGCACTGATCAACGAGAAAGGACTCCGTAGATTCATGGCACCAACGTTGCCTTTGAGATCTAGCGCACCTGAAGTACTAGACGATTGTGGGAGCAGCCCTTCTACAGTTAGCGACAGTGGTCCCTCCCGGAAACGTACGCACGTTATCGATTTGGAGGACGATCAAGAAGACGAAGACGAAGACGAAGACGAAGACGACATTGACAACGAGATCCGGGAACACACTAGGGTCGTCAACGAAGATCGCGAGCGGCCTGGTAAGAAGCCTAAGGTTATGGTGGTGGTCGGCTAGGAGTCGGACGCATGTGTATCTGACCCTATCGGTTATGATACGTTGATAGGGCTTAGAGAGAGATATGGTTTTATGGGAGAAGTGACGTGATATAATGGGGCTGAGGATATGAGTAATGGGAATGGCTGACAGAATGGCTGTAGGAGGGTGGATTATTGTTGATATACCCCCATTACTGCGATATGACTGTATGACGGCATGAATTCGTTTATTATAGTTATGAATGCTGATGCATGATAGCTGCCAAAATATCAATGCTATGGTGCATGTGTTCACTTGCTTGACGTTGCGTTATGGTGAATTAGTCCTTTGCAGTGACCCGTCTAGCCGCTAAGAGAACGCAATTCGCACGTATACTTTCACAGACTCGCGTATTAACACAACAACAGCGGGCATGCCGTGAGTCAATGGGTTTGAAGGTGTGCGTGTGATCGGATGAGCACCCGATCAATGGCGTGCGGCAGTCTTTCATATGTGCATTCTCGGGTACGATTGGTTGCACCATGTGGTCTCGCTGATTTACACAGCCTTGTCTACACCTGAAGATCTTATTTCGAATTCACGCGACGTACTATCACCTTGTCGCACCTCCTAGCCTTCGGTAGTACTCTCATATGCTGCGAATCGATGTGACTTCATCTTGTGGCTGCGGTGTGTGTGGTGCAGTTGTAGGGTTAGGATTCTCCGAGGAACTTGTTGGTTCTTGGGGCTCGCCCTGTCTTAATAATTCCGGATCCACGACTCTTCCACGTCCTCTGTTGTGAGGATGTTTCAGCTGGGCTTTCCGATCCATAGGCCAGGTCGCAGCACTCGCACTGCGAGTCAACATAGTTTTATATCCATCTTCATCTCCGTCTCCGTCTTCGTCTTCGTCTTCGTCTTCGTCTTCGTCTTCGTCTTCGTCTTCGTCTTCGTCTTCGTCTTCGTCTTCGTCTTCGTCTTCGTCTTCATCTTCATCTCCGTCTTCATCTTCAGTTTCATCTTGTACCTGCGATGTATGTAGTGAAGCTCGCGAATCGGAACTTTCTGAGGAACGTGTAATTGATCCCTGGAGCTCGTCCAGCCCTGATGATTCTATATCCGCGACTTTCGCACGCTTCTTTCTGATTTGTCCTTTGGACCGGGATGTGAAGCCCTCCAGCCAAGCAACTGTCTTTTCTTTCGAGGAACGTTCTTGGTCGCGATTTATGTACTTGAATGCTAGCCATACTGCGATACCTGTCAATACTAGTGTCAAGATCTCAGTACTCGCTATATAGAGTTAGCAAGTATGCATTCCAATATTCACACAGGTTTCGATCAGGCATTCTTGTCCGCAATATTCATGCAGCGATCAAGGTCTACTTACCAAATATGCCACCAATCTTGCCGCTATGGAAAACGCCATCACTACCGGAGATTTGGAGGTTCTCGAATCCGTCAATCTTGAGGGCGAAAAGTGCCGTGAGAAATGCGAGTGGTGTGAAGACGATCGTAATGACGGTAAATCCGATAACAGCGGTGCTCACAATGAGGCTGCTGTGTGCCTCCCTGATACTAGCGTGCGTGCGCTTCAGGTTGAGCATGTCCTGTATGCTCTTCTCGATTCTGTCCGCATCGCCGTCGATCTTCTTTACTCTTCTCATGTACTGTTGGATGGTCTCTTGAGAAGCTTCGATTGGTGCCCAATCTGGTAAATGCTGTTTTTCGCTTGCAGGTAGGCAATCTTTGAGAAACTGTTTTAAGATACGCTCCTGTTGGTCGAGAACATGCTGTATCATAGCAAGCTCGCTGCGCACATCGGATATGACGTGTATGAAGTATCGCTCCCGGCGGTATTCAAGTCCACTGGAACTCGATTTTCCTCCAGAAGGCTGTTCGATGTACTTCCTCACTTCCGACAGAAGCTGAACCACTCTTGTCTCAAAAAGATCCAGTGGAGGCGGATGGATGAGGTCATCGTCATCCCAGTAGGTCTTACCAAACCTATCTATGAAGCTAGTGATGATCAAGCCGAGGTGGATATCCGCAGGTGTCGCTTGTTCTCTCCCGTCACCGTATCGGATTCTGTCATAGTAACGAAGTCCTCGCCGCTTTCTATTGGACGCGTATTGAGTTCCCTGATCCATACTGTAAGCAGATATGACGACATTACCCAACTTGTAAAGCCAGAGCTGCGGCACCATGAGGATGAATGCTTCTCCACTGGTTCTTTTCGAGCCACTGTCTCGCTTATCAAAGGAGGTAAAGTCGTCTTTACTGTGTGAGACCACTTGATCATGATTGCGTACTTCCAGGGCTTCACGAGAGAGGCCCGGATAGTACGCCTCGTCCAAGGTGCGTTCCAAGTGGTCGAAAGAGAGAATATGTTCATTGAGCTTTAGATCTCTCTTGAGCTTCTCGTGCCTCCGTCTTTTAGCCTTTTGTTGCCCGATTGTCGTAAGCACTAGATATGGAAACTTTGAGTGTAAGCTTCAAGCCAGGAAGGATAGCGTGGTCTACTAACTACAATCGCTGAACACTTCGCCTCACATGGTTCGCGGCGACTAAATAGGTTTTTCTGGATGAATGGTAAGTTGCGATAATCCTATAGACGTTGCGGAGATGGCTGCCTTTGTCATACCTCCTCAGGCATCTGCAAGCTTCTTGATTGATATGTCGGCTCCAAATAAGCCAGATGAGAATCATCAGAGCCACGTCTCAGGGCTCCGAAGATTTCGCCTAACGTTTGAGCAGCTTTCCAAGTATAACTTCGTACAGGGGCCTTTGTGACATTCGTTACTTGATCAATATAAAAGAAGAGCTTTCATACCATCATCAACAGAAGCTGTCAAGATTAGCTTGGTTGCTTCTCAAACACAGATTTTGCTAACTCACGTTATTTCTCCGAACATGGATCCAGGTCAAGCTTGGTTTCTGGATATCGTCGGGACTAAACGGGCCTACATCTTTTCGTAGACGACGAGCGCGCACAATTGGTTTTGCCCGGGGCTTGTCTTCTCTGAATGACTCGTAGTAGTTCATGGGAATCAGCTTCAGGAACAGATGAGCTGCAATGGAGAAATGAATTTCATCCCTGTTAAGCAAGCCGTACCCATTAATGGGATTCAGGACGTCAATACCATGATTCTGGGGATCTGCTCCGGAAACCAACAATAGCTCTATAGTGTCCGCCAGCCTCCACTTAACAGCTCTCGAGAGCAGATATCCATTTTCGCTTCGCTTTGCGATGTTTATCTTGGCTTTTAACCAGACAGTGACATGTCGTGTACCCAAAAGGGTGTGAAGAATAGTCGCAAGTATCGCTGATTTTGCAACGTCGATGGCATCGTCGTATATATCGCTGTGCGCACGGATTTCAGATTGCGTCAGTGAGACAGTCTCATGTATATCCGAACCGGACAGTGGCCATCGCTGCTCAGATTCTAATCGATCCCAGAATGTCGTGAGTTCCTCAGCATCGTCGATCTCCTTCATCAAGAGCTCCACAGAGCATTGCTTGATGTTCTTGAGCAATTGATTAAGTACTATTACTCTCTTTAAGCTGTATCTTGTAAAAATTGTAAAGCCGAGAACAGCTCTCTCAAACCCTTTCACAATCTCTAAGAGCCATTTCAGTACACAGTTCAGCACACAACGAGATAGGCGGCGGTCGCACCTGGTTCAAATTCGGGACACTTGGGATCATCAAGGGTTATAAGGCTGTCACCGTCACCTGACATCGTCGATTTAGTGTAGGAGAGCCAGCTGTTTGCGAGAATTTGGACGAAAGCTTTCACTGCGGCGGCAGGCACTCTACCTAGGTATTTATTCCTTCGGCCAATACCCCCTTCGTCAGTGCATATCACTGGCGTGCGATTCGGCTAGCTTCATGTAAGATAGACGTGTCATCATCGGGCACCACGCGCCACCATGCGTTTTCGTTCGAAAGTGTTTCTCAGCCTCGCGCGATAGAGGGGTACGTCCCAGTCGGAACGCTGCCAGTACGTAGCGTTTCAGCTACTCCGGAAGCCTGCTCGTGAACATGGAGTGAGATGGTTCTTTCAGTTCAGCTGTTTTATAATGGGTGGACCGCGGCGGATAGATACCCAAGGCCATCACCCAGCTGTGGTACGGTACGGCCTCGAAGGGGGACATCTCAACAGTTTGCTAAGCTGCCTCAATGTTGATACAATGAACCGTAATTTGGGGAGCATGCTGATCATCGTCGATGCAATCCAGGTGGTGGCAAAGTAAGCCCATGGGCCGCGCTGTAAGGCCGATGAGTCACTTCTCCCTGTAATCTGAACGAAGTCGCAGGACCTTTGGGGCATCTCGGGGTCCGTTTGCCCGATCATACATAGACAGCCTTCACTATCATTAAGAGCAATATGGTATGTATATGTGCCGGCTTCGACTGGGAAGGCGCATGCGAGCCTGAGTCGTAGAATGTATGATACCAGCGAATTCGGCGCGGGTGCTTGTTGAATGCGTGTGTATGAGCGTTTCTGGCTCAACAGGCGTTCCGGGACCCCGCTCTTCAGCTTTCAGCCTAACCATCCACAATCTGAGGGTTGACGAATCACAACCAACAGCTCGTTTTCTTGTCTCGTTCGCGGCAGATTATGGCTTGTTCAAAAACCGGGTTGTTCTCACCGGTTTCCATGATATCGCTCGAGCCATAGACGAACAGTGTTGAGATTGCATTGATACCTAGGTAGTGCCTCAGACGACTCGATGCTCAAATGTAACGTTCCTCGTCCTTGTAGAAATTACAGCAGTCGAAAACCGCCCTAAGATCAGAGCATGGAGGGAAGAACAACCCTGAATTCCGGCAAAAATGACGTTTGTGCACCGTTCCCAGAAGCCTGCGGATCAAGAGACATCCTCCGCGAGAAGCTCCGACTCATCAGCTACTCCTCGCATTCACCAACTAGGTGTCAAGGCGCTATGATGCCTTCAGATTCGTCGTTGTACGCTACGAAAAGTGACGAGCAGCAGCGCGAACATCTCCAAGCATACCGCGTGCACCACTAAAGCTGCACCTGCTGTTGCAGCTCTCAAGACGGCACGTTGAGTGGTAAAACAGTCTTCTTGAATGGCATGAATATCATTAAACGTTTCCCTTCTAATTTTATGCATAAGAATGTTGGTGAAGTATAGATCTCTGAGACGCCGAGTCTTCCAACCCTGGCGACGGAGATTCGCGAACGATAGTAGGAAGTTGTTCCTCCACGCGCAAAGCCAACCCACCCTTCCCTTGCTGTTCACCCCGTTCCTCGTCATCCAATGCATCGCCATGAGTTGGGGAGTCCATCGCACGTAGCTCCACGACTCTACCATCTTCTTCGACATCCATAATTGCAGACAGGCGATATGGGTCCTTTGTCTCGCGGGATGAGGCTTTGCTTCGCTGTTGTGCTGTGATGAAGCCATTTTTCTTGTCCTCCAATGACTTATAGCTTCGTTTGCTCGTGGAGTTGTAAGTGCTGGGGTTTGGAGCGTAGCTTGAAGAATCCTTCGTGGGCATCTTGAACCCGTTCTGGACGAAGCGTATCAAGTTCCTGATGGTGGGAACGGCAGCGCATATATGTGCGACTCCGCTGGATATGAATCCGGTGATGGATGTGCCTGCCACTGTGTAGGTTGGATCGGTAGTGTCGACAACACCTGGCAGGAACGGTAGGCGTATGATGGACATGACAATAACACTTTGGAAGAGTTAGATTACACGAATCGAACGTGTTAAAGACAAGACTTACCAGATACCAAGGCTAAAGAAGACGAGTAGCTGAATCTTCTTTGTAGTCTGCATCTGCAGCTTCCACACGATCGGAATAGGAAGACTGAAGAGAATAGTCTCGGCGATGATTTCGTATACAACCGTCAGTCTCAAGACGGCGATATAGTCAATGCATTTCGCAGTTCCCTGCTCTTGGAGGTCCCATATAGCGTGGACTGGGATGCATTGGAAGGCAGCCAGAAAGATTAGGGGAACGGTGAATAGAGCCGTGAAGACCATGAAGGCGTAGACAGCCCGCTTTAGCCAGAGGTTCGGAAAGATGCGGATATATAGACAGAGAATGCTGTACTTTATAAGGAGCAATTCGACACCCCAGAACATGGTGGCAATATAGGCTGTCTATAGTCAGTACGCTGTCATCAGAGTTGGTAGATGAATACATACTCCATCTTCCAATTGACACGACGCGTTGATACGTCAGATCCCATATGTGATAGCCGAGTCCTGCTTTGAGGTTCAATAAGAGGGCAACAGTCATAGGGATGACCAGAATCTGCGAGACTGTAAGTAAGACAAAACTAGCCTCTCTATCGAACACTTACGACTGCTATGAGATGGAGCCAATCGTCCCACCAAAGCTTGTTACCGCCAACATATCGGGAACCAAAGCGCATTACAATCACGATGATTGGTATGATGCCACTCACGTATGCCACGATTCGAATGGGGGTCGCCAGGTTGTTGTGCGGCCTATTGCAAATAGAGGCTTGGGCGCGGAGCGTAGCTGCAAAGACATTAGTGTTGTTACCTCCGATCACTGCGATAAACATACCGAAAGTCTCATCGTAAGTGCATTCCCTTTCCAAACACGGTTGCAGGATCTTGGTCGAGTTCTTAGAATTGCATTGGCACTCCAAGTCAACAAGCCCACAGCCAATGACAGGCACGTTTTCCGTGATACATTGCAGCTGTGCGATGGTCAGTTACAAGAAATTTGCTCTTGTGCGGTGTATATCTTACGGCGCATAGCGGAATCTGGCTCAATCCATCCAGTGCCCCAGCGTCCGAGGAGGCAGCGCTCGTCGTGAAGCAGAGGACACTGACCAGCAGTACAAAAGCATACACTCGGCGAAGGGATAGAAGGAGCATTTTGACAAGGTGGTTTACAACGATGTGCACGGACAACGATGATTGCTTTTCATGTTCGAGAAGCTGTTATTATATTCCGAGGAACACAGGAGTTCTACCCAAAAGCTAATTGCGACGATCATGGGCAGACATATTGGTATAGAGACTTGGAGTGCAGGGTTCACTCTGGAAACCGTAGTGGATAAGCGCACGGGCAAGGCCATACTAGCTCGCCGAACCTACTCATGTCATGAAACTTACTCAGTCGTCCTATGATATGTGCCGTAGGTGTCGACTTCTACATTTTGCCGGTGGTAGGTGGATTAGGGCATAATCACGAAACCTTTTCGACGCAGTTAGTGGAGCTGTATTCACGACCAAGGAAGGGATAGACCTGTCATGGAAGCTGCCATTTTATACTTTGTAACGGCGCCCAATTTGGCCACTGGCGAAGTGGTACTGAGCAGTCTCACAATGTCTATTTCAACTGCTCTGGCAGAACGATAACCTTGTGATAAGCGATAGGAAAAATCGAGCCGCCCTGCGACGCCATGGCGCAATAGATCAAGCCACCCGTGGTGGGTATCGCGTAGATTACCATTTTGTGGATACCCAGGGACAGTCAGCTCTAAAGAGCGTTGCATCTACCAGTAAATTGGATGGTAGGATTCAACCCCCTGGAGCGATCATTGCTCCACCTCCACAACGCCGATCGGATTGTCGGCAATCGATTATTCTTGTGACGATCATGTGCTCGCCGAGCCATCGGTCATGTCGGCAGGATCTTCTGTTGCAAGCATCCGTGAGCTGGTAGTCGGTACGCTAACATCGTCATTGGCTGGCTACGGTAAAATGGAAATCTCCGTGTCATCGGAAGTCCGCCAAAGGTCTGCTTGGCGGCTCGCCACACTTTCTCCGATGTGCTCGTGCGCAGTGCTTCACCCTGCTATAACTTTGCCCACGACCCTACGGATGGATGAGGTGCATTTTGGTCTGGAGGCCTGATTTGTTCGCAACGGTCATTGGTTTATGTTTTGGTGGCTTACGACCCTGCATTGCGGAGAATACACAATCCGGAAGCTACCTAGGTAGTCTGAACGTAAACTTGCGGAACGCACCACGAACAACGTCTCGTAACGGAGGCACCGACATTGTGCCTGGGATCGACAACTTGGGCCAGGAGTTTACAGCCTATCGCAACCAACCCAAAGCAGGCGTAGCACAACACATACCTAGCACTGCAGAGACTATCTTCACGAACGCGCATCTAAAGCGGCAGACGGCCGTCCATGGCCTTTGCAGAATGAAGCCGCACATGCGCCGAACCAAGCACGCGACCTGTTTTACCTTCACATGTCAAAGTGAAAGTGAAAGTGACTGGTTTCAGAGAATAGACTTGCTCATGCACTCGGAATACCACTTTGCTATGTGTGGAAGGCGGAGCGAAAATCAACTCAAACACAGTAACGATTCAAGACGAGACCACCACACCATCTTTTGCGATGGGTATTCGTCGTGAACCACCCATATCTGTCTTTCAGGCGACCCGTTCCACTCTTCCAAGATCTAGTCGAATTGTCTAGATCCACAGCAGGGCCTGTAGTGGACCGACTCCACTCACTTACGCCATCTCCTGTATGTGTTTCCAGAAAACCAGGTCTATGATCCTCACTCCCAAGTGAATTACTCAGGTAGTATCGACTCCCGACAGCCCCGCGTCACTTGATGCTTGTATGCCTGACGCTTGTTTGCAACGCCACACCCGGACACAGCACTGACAAAGATCACCAGGGCAGCTACCGCACCCTGATTATACCCGTAACTGCGCCACTAGATAGCGTTACATCCGATTGGCGAAGCCAGGACTAAGTCGACCGAGAAAACCGCTAGAACAATGCGGTTTGTTTCGAGTGTTAACGTCTATGCACGTTTATTTGCAATTTTCATGCATCCAGTTGCCCTGGTGTCGTTATGAAATCCAAGGTATCGCTCGAGCTTTGCGGCGCGCAAGGTGGCGTATCCGACGAAGTTTCGCCTGGTCCCATCTTCGCCACTGAAAATGTACGAATCGTGGTGCTCGGCATCTTGTTCACCATGACCTCGTTCTCATCCGTCTTGAAAGCCTTCAAACTCATGGAAGCTATTCCTGGCAGCCCCATCTTACTTAGCTCCACCAGTTGGTTGAGTGCCACAAACTCCAGCTCTAATTTCACAGCATAAGCAAAGCTGAAGACGATGAATTTGAGCTGCAGATAACCTGCAAAGTCCATAAAGACGATGGCGACATCGAAGGCAATGGCGACGAACTGAACGAGTAAAAGAAGACACATAACGCTCCGTGTCTTGCTTGACTGCGTGAACCGGCCCTGGAGGTATTGGTATGCTGCGCGTAGGTAGAGACAGGAAAGAATGATGTCCTGGACAGCGAAGGTCACGACTTGTACCTTCTCGACGCGGTCGTGAACATGCTTCCATGCGCGTGTGTCTAAAGTATACAATCAGCATAGCTTACCATCTCCGTTCCAGAGGGATCACTTACCAGTTGGACGTCCTGCATATTGCGTCGTCCTCATGCCTGATAGCACTGTGATCATGACTGTGTGCCACACACAACCGTTGAAGATGATCATACCAAGCACAACTCGTCGTGCTCTATGGCTTTCCAAGATTATGGTGAGTCGACTGTAGAGTACCATCGAGAACCCACTAATCATGCCAACCCATCCAAGCTGTTGCATCGTGAAGCCGACCTGCCACGGACACATCGGTGCGTAGAATTGGATGAAGTTGCCGACTTGACGTATGGTCAGACCCCAGGTAGCGATCAAGATAGAATAAAAGTAGATTCCAGAACGCTTCTTCATGGTCGTGAGAAGACGAATGGTAAGAGTCAAAGTAGACCAGAATGCCACGGCACCGAACGCGATGAAGAGGCTACGAAGTTGTGAGCACATTGACAGTGTCATGCAAGTGGAAACGTACTGTGTAATGTCCACGCCATTAACCCGGAAGAAAGAGGTTGGTGCACTCATACTGGAGATGGCAGTACTTTGAGTTATCCAGGGGGTCTTTTAGCCTATAATGTCTGGGTCTCAGAGAATGCGATGTAGATGTTTTCGCGGCTGTAACAATTGTTGGTCGTGGCCCACGCAGAACATATAGAAGCTCGTCGACATTCTGCCGCAGAACAATTGCCTTGCTTTTCCTCTAGCATCCAAGCTGCGAGTATTGTTACTATTCCGGTTGCCTGCTGTCACATTTGGAAGATCAGATCGGTATCGTGCAAAAAGCATCATTGTCATTGGAAGTTGTGTGTTCCTGCGGAGTAGAGGCTGCCATATCTGGATATGTTCGTGGAAAGGTCTAAAAATAGCCATCTCTCATGGTGAAGCGCGATACACATCCACCGAAGCGGCGTACCGATAGCAGTAAGCGTGAATATTGCGCAAAGGAAAGATCACCTCGATTGGCTCAAGGGATTGTATCTGCTCTTTAATGCGAACACGCCTAAGCTCAACGGAGGGTAGAGTGGAAGGTTTACGAAAGTGGGGCTGCTGACATGCTTTGGCGGTGGTTACTCATCAACCCAGCCCCGCCTGTCGTTCCCTCTATAGGACCTTCGTGGCTTCCCATACACCAAATATATACCGAAGGATCTCGTGCTAGTCGATGAGCTCGATGCGATGGCGCTGGGTCGGGAAACAATGCACGGGAGGCGCGAATGACAAGGATTGGCCGCCGACGTTCAAGGCCGGCGGGAAAGCTGCCTCTAAGTCGGCGCGCGCTGCAACATAGATGGGTAGATGGCTGGGACTCTGACTGCTACCTCGGTCTTCTTCCACGCTTCTTATCTAATTTGTACGGTGGTGAGCCTAATGATTGTCATAAAGTCAGATAGTATCAAGGTCCTATCTCTTGATATTGATAACCTTGTGTACATATGGTGCCAATACCCAGAGTCTTTACTACTCAATCAGGCCGATCATCGTTATTTACTCCCTGCACAATTTTTCTCTGGATTCTTCCATGCATTCGTCTGTAAAGCACAAGGCCACATACTGTGAAACCACCCAAATAAATCTACCGCCACCCTAAGGCCATCCACAAGTCTTCTTGCATGGCTTGCCATCAGCATGAACGCTGAGGCAGATGCGCTGGCACGAGGAGCCGTGGCATGTCTAGTATGTATCGATACGAATTAGTAATTTCTTCTACTCTGAGCTTGGTAGTTATGAAGCTACACACCTTGGTGCAGTCGATAAAAGCTTTAGTGCACTTTTGGCATGAGCTACTGACGACTTGAGTGTGGACGTCCTGATTCTCGTTAGCCCTGGGGTAAAGCAGCGATAGTGGGTGCGTGAGCGACGCGGGTGGAGAACTTGCATTCGCGGGAGAAGACTCGATGGTGGATGTAGAAGCGGGAGCAACGTCACGGGGAATGGCACTGCTCATTGCAACGGTGGAGAGGGCCACGAGGAGGAGGATGGACGTGAAAGACTTCATCTTGTTGCAATGTCGTAGTTGAGTGACAAGGTTGAGTATGTAATTGTTGTGGTTTCTGGAGGCTTTGTCGAGAAGAAGCTTTGTTTGACCAGAGTGGTTGCTATGTTTTTATGCGACGGTGAGAGAGGGAACATCACAAGGTCTGAACGCTTCCATGGTCACTTTTCCTCGAAGAGCTCACGCCAAGGCCCGCAGGCTACCACAGTGAGAGATTGCTACGCAAGCTGGACTCGCCTGCATACCGATATAGACTAAAAGGTCGGATGAAGGCGTTTCGATCCGCAACCACGCTTAGCTCGTGTGTTCTCCTACTCGCTCTCTTACTAATATATATACATATACACCGTCACTGCAACATCACGATCGATTCTTCTGCACTCAACCTGAACAACCAGATTCAGCCAAACACCAATTTCTTCTCGTCAGAAATGAAGTCCTTCACCACCATGCTTACCCTGACGGCCCTCTTCGCCATCGCTCTCAGCGCTTCGCTTCCCTCAGCATCCGCCCGCCACCGCGGCCCCCTCAAGCCCAAGCCATCCAACCATCTCAGGTCCATGGTCGAGCGTCTCGTCGCTGACGGAACATTCCCCGATGATGCAAACACCCGGCTCTTCTCAGAGTATCCCAGTGCCGACGACGACGACGACTTCGACGAAGGCGACAATTGGAAGGTTTGCTAGACTGTCTTCCATTGAAGAGATGGAAAGTCGGAACAACACGAGTTGAGGATAACTGGATATTCGTGGTTCGACGATGTAGCTGTCTGGAACTTCGCATGATTGGGTACCTGGGATGACTTTCTGGATAGACAGGTAGTACGTACGGGCTTCTTGTGATATGCTGTATTGCCGATCTGGCTACGAGACTTCCGTAGTGCTGAAATGACCGTACGTTTACAATAATGGAACCATCACTTATATCTCCAAAATCTGCGCAACATGTGTTTTTACATGATCTTTGTTCATTTCTCGTCTTGCATGGATACAGATCTCGTTCATCGCCCACTCCTTTCATCCAGCTCAAAGTCCCCCTCCTCCTCAATAGTCGGCAGCACCTGATACCTTCTCTTCTTCCCACCCATCCTCTTCAAGCACCGATCCGTATGCAACAAATGACCCCTCTTCTGCCTTACAAATCCCGCAAAACACGCCGCACTCGATGCAATCGCGCCCGCGCTGATATAAATCGGAATAGTAAAGTCCTGCGGCCGCCACCACACCATTGTCGTCGCGAAAGAGAGGAGCTCAAAGACGTTTTGCAGTGACATCTCAATAGCGGAAAATGAGCCGCGAGACGCAGGCGGCGCATCTTCCTGCACGAGATACTGGACGCTGAGATCGAAACCCCAGAGACCAAGGCGCGAGAGACAGACGCCCAGGACAAGCGCGGCGCCAGCCAACATCGGTGTTGTACTCGTAGGGAAGACGTGGAATAAGCCTATGGCTAGGGCAATGGCGAGGAGTTGTTCGTTGATGAACCAGAGACCTGCTCGTACAGCGCCAATCTTATTCATCAGCCACGGCGCCGCGACGGTGGCGCTAAGTTCGAGGATAACGGACACGAGTCGCATGATGGAGACGTGCGTGCTCGTGAAGCCGAGGGTGAGCAAGTAAGTCGTCATTTGCGATGCAAAGCTCAGGACAGTGAGATAGAGGAGGGAAAGCGAGAAGGAGGCGAGGAAGGCGGGGTTTTCGATATATGCGCGGTAGGGTTGCAGGTGTGAGGTTATATTGGCGAGAAGAGTGGAACGTCGGCTAGGCGTGTTTGACACGGTATCCCCGTGGGAAGAGTCTTGCGGTTGTGAATCCGTGGCAATATTCGTTTCAGCCTGCGCGACGCCTTTGCCAACACCAAGTTCCGGCACCGCGGCGTACACATTCGCAATGGCAAAGTACTCCACCAGTACACTGATTGCATTCTGCGCGAATACAACCCAGATGGCGATTTTGGTCGAGTACCCATCCACGAGTCCGATGCCCACGGGCGCAATGAGCTTGCACACCAAATCAATTCTGCGCATGACGCTATTCAGCTCTTGACGATCTGCACCCAAGCTCTCAGAAACCACGACTATCCAGTCTCTCTCCACAGAAACCGTGTTGGCGACAAAAGCCAATTTCTCGACACATGCCAGAACCGCGCTGACCGCAAACAAGCCATACGATATTCCACTGGCATTTTTCTTCTCTTGCACGTCACCCAAACCCAACATAGCCACCAAAACTGCACAACTCGCTGCGACAGAAAGCCTTTGCCATAGAATACTCTGCCTCACGACATACAATCTATCCCTCGCATCGACCTGCCCGCCTATCCACGACCCCAGGAGCGCAGCGGCAAGCGAGCGAAAAAGCGCATAGCAACTTGCGAAGAAGAGCGTTCCGGGGAAGATTTTCGCAAGGAAGATGACAGCGCCAAATTCAAAAGTGCGCGCATTCCACGTAGACAGTATGTGTGAGGTGTAGAGTTTGTAGAGGAGGGGGCGGGGTGATTGTCGTCTTGGTGAGGGCGTTGCAGATGAGGCGGGGTAGGAGCGCGAGGAGGTGCTGCTGCTGCTGCTTGTCGAGCTCGTCGATGAGCGTGGTGACGAAGTCGCCATTGTTGTCGCAAAAAAACTTGTGTAGTTTTGTTTACGCGGAAAGCAAAAGCAAAACGCCTCAAAGGCGAGGAATAGACGAAGAGGCTACATATTTGCAAGGTTCAGATGGGAAATACCGTGATGGTCATGAGACGGCTTGGAGAGCGGACATCTGGGCCTTCCGAGTCGCCTCATGGGTTGCGACGCACGTGTGGACCCTGTCGATCGTTTTATCTGGATTAGGCCGGGCTGGGTTAGCGTCGCGAATGTTCGTGAGAAACAGGATTGGAGTAAGTCCGAGTGCATATTAACGACAAGCGCGAAAGAGAACTTAGGCAACAGCTTTTGGGACTGGAAGTCCCACTGTAAGTCGCTATGAAGAAAGAGAAATGGTGCAGGGTGCCGTGAGTCTAAAGCGGGTTTTGGACCGATGATAGGAAAATGCTACTTAAGCAGGGATGGTCTTGACACGAAATTTGCTTGCTTTATCGTCCTTACTCCACCGCGTTAATTATATGGAACACGGATAGTAGTTATTGTGTGCTTCAGCATGTGTGTTGGATGCCTGTAGTTCAGATTATCCAATTACAGTATGTGTAGGCCTGGCCCGTACTGTCACATACCACTACAGATTTGGGAGTCTCAAATCTGATCTTTCATCATCAGGTACGAAAATGGCACTTTGATATATCCCGAGTGGCACTATTGTTTCCTATGCCGTAAGGTGTCTAAGATTGGTGGTTGTCTTCGTCACTCCTACCATTCCTAAACAACCTCATCGTCCTCGGTTTGATCATTACAATCATCGCACTCGCACTTGAAATCTTTCGGACGGGCAGTGCTATTGTCGAGAAAGTCAGCTCAATGCTTACAAGTGCGATTACGGAAACTTACGAGTCAAACACCCCGTGGTTGTCAATGTTATGCAAAAGATAGCGCATAATCTCCTTTACATTTCGCTGAAACGGAAAGAATTGTTTGCCGCTGATGGAACAGCCAGGATGGATTTCCCCATTTCGGTAATGCCTGTCAAGAGGGTGCAGTTCGAGAACGTCGAAGCAGTTCCTGGTTTCCCAACGGCCATGGTCTATCTCAATGTCGTTTTCGACAAGATGTGAGGCAAACTCCCATGCTTCGCCGGCATCATCGTGAGCGTCCTCGACTTGCACGACTTGCCCAAAACCATTGATCCAGCAATTAGGTACGACTGACCTTTCTTCTTCTTCCAAGTAGAAGGACTTCATCAAAGCGGTGAGGATATTGATGCGAAGCTCTTGAAGTTTCAACGTATGCGAAGCAATCATGGTAGAGGGTCCGTTGCAGTCGGTACTCCGAACCTGAATCGTGAGTTCATTTCCTTTCCATCGACCTGACATCGCCGTCTCCATGACAAAGGGCAATATGTTGATGCGGACATCATTTAATGAGATAGGGTCTTGCACCTCAAATTTGAGTTTGTATTTCAACGTAGTCCGTTCGAACGGGCTATTCATAAGGGTCCTCGGGTGTGATGAATCACCAGGATAACGGGAAGGGTCGAAAGTCTTCCTCAGAAATCTCCGTAAGTTCTTGAACCCGTCGAAATCAGTTTGTACACAGTTTGTTGTCAAGACTAACTCGAAAATGCTATGTCTGCTGTGTTTGTACGTGTCATGGCCGAAGAGAAAGGCTTTACGCCACGCGTGATAGATGTCCTTGTTAACGTGGATAATACCACAGTTGAACTTCGTATCCTTATTCAAGTCGATCACAAAGCCTTCGGTAGGACGCACAACCCGACTGATTATATCCCTGAGTATCGGCTGTGGCAGGTCGAGTAGGGTCAGGGCCTTTTCCTGCTTGCGCACTCGTAGTCGAGCTCCGTCGTCTTCCGCAATAAAGGAAGAGACGTGATGGGGATCTGGAAAGATGTCTGGAAGACTTGATCGCATCATCAGACCGGGGGGATCGCAACAAACGTTAGTAGTCCCCCAATTGATCTCACCTCCGGAAGCGTCTCCGTATATATTAACTGCGTACAGCAGTCGGCCATACTTTCGTAGCTCCAACTGTCCTCCTAGTATAGACTTGAGGATAGCACTCATTGACGGGGCATTGAAATTCAAATCCGCAAAACCTTGAACAGGGGAATGGCCCCTAGTGTTGACGAGAGAGACGTCGACGTTTAGATCCAGACTCCAAACGGCGCGTAGAAGAGGGGTGATCTCGAATCGCCCAGGTGCACCATCTTTAACTTGATCAGGATATGCAAGGCTTCGATAAAGCTCTGACGACTCCAAAACGCATAGGTCGAGTACAACCTTCCGAAGCCAGTGCGCTTGCGTGCCTATACGCGTGAAGAAAGCGCCCGGTAGTTTGATGGTAGATGAGTACCGGTGGCAGTCGTAAGAACAGTAGTCACTGTCAATGATGAAAGTGTTGTTGGAGTAGAAGGTAGAACCTGCATCGCGATACAATGTCCGACACGATGCAAAGAGGTTTACGGGGAGGTGTGGCTTCCAATTTAAACGCCCACCAGATTCATCGATGCGACGACGCCTGGACCCACTACCATTGCAGCGTATACGCATTGGCGTGGGGTACTCGACCAAGTAGTTTATGATTTGATTGCGGATTTCCGCTGGCAGGTCGCGAATAATGAATGGTTTATTCGCGTCGACGGGCTTCGAGTCGCCGCGAGCGAGGGGCGGAATGGTCTTTCGAGTCGCCATCACAGCGGTGGAGGTCGGTTCGGTTGTCATATTCAACGGTCGTATGGGAGGTGATCGAGGCGGTGGTGTCAATTGCACTGGAGGAGAGCAGGCTTATATAGCTCTATAGTTAACCAGGCAACAAGTTCTTGGGCGTAATCGGCCTGGATCTACCGAATGAAAGTTCCGCCATATGTTGAATACTCGTGCATGCAAGGTATGATATCAGTGCAGGCTAGTGAAAGAGCTAGATAGTTTTTAGTCACATTGCTCAAGGATTAGTAGTCTCAGACAAACTTCGGACAGTAATGAGCTACTTCAACTACCAGTTCCGTCACTTTCATCACCAGTATACCGACGCAGATGCTCAACAACTTCATCATAGCCCGACATTACTGCACGTGATAGCGGTGTCTGTCCGTTCTCATCTTCATAATCAACTTCTACCATGCCTGATTCGAGAAGCCGATAGACTACATTGATGTGTCCAAACCGTGCCGCCCACCATAATGCTGTCCGTTTGTTCCTATCTTCTGAATTAATGTCTGCTCTAGCTGTAGTAAGCAGGAAGTTGACTGCTCCCCAATGTCCGTTCTGCGCCGCCCGCAGCAGTGGCGTTTGACCAAAATTGTCCTTGCTTTCTACATCTATCGCACCTTTGTCAAGAAGTAGCTTCATCGCGGCACAATGATCTGTTGCTGCGGCTATATGTAATGGCGTTTGGCCATGAAAGTCTTTGCTGTTAATGTTCACCTCTTCCCTATCAAGCAGCAGTTTGACCATAGCCTCGCATCCGTTCTTACAGGCTAGCCATAATGGAGTTCTCCCTGCTGTATCTGGCAAATCGATGGGGAATTCGTTCATGTCGAGTAGGAGGGCGAGTACTTGTTTATTACCAAGGACAACCGCATTGGATATCATGCCGCTGTTTTCAGAGTAGATGAATAATGGATCGAGATTTCCATGTCTTTCGACTGCATGTTTATCGACTCTTGCATCTCTTACACAAGTGCATTCTTCGGGTGTGTAGCGAACCTGAAGGTGTGCCATACATAGATGGAAAGCTTCTTTGCTCCCATGAGCTACAGCTGCGAAGAGTGGAGAGCCCGAACCTCCGCTTTCGGCTTTGAGGTACGTGGAAAAGTTCGACCGAAGTTCGATCAGACTTGTGTAGTTGAGCTGTGCCAGTATGAACTCAAGACTGTGAGATTTTGCGTAGATTTTGAACTTGCGTGTCGACTTGGCCAGCTCGATCCATTTAGGCAATGGAAAGCCATCAAGAAAAGATGTTTGAGTGACTCCATATTTCTGTGCTGCATTTGAGTGGAACAACACATAGGTGATGGCATAGCCTAGAAACGGATTCGCGTCCATGACCGATGTTTCCAAGCTTTCGTGTTCTGAAGATAGCGGTGAGGAAGAACCTCCACGCACATCCGGATCGCTTAAGAGATTCATGCCTGTACATTTCATACAGCACCGCTTTAGCTGTTCATGGCTTTCACCACGAAAGTTGGTTCGAAGATCTGGCCAGACATCGCCAAGACCATCCTTCAAAACAAAGTCCCTGACCGATTCGTGAATCAACTGAACTTTCTGTGGCTCAGAGGCTGTGAACTCGATCAGGCCTCTCGAAGCGCTGAGTACAAAGCGTTGAGCAACGTCGCGTGTAAACACGTTGGTATCCCATCGCGGTACTTCGCGAGGCTCAGACCCGGCAAGAATCGCAGCATATAGCTGTTCTGGAGTCAAGGGTTCTTCGGCGAAAAGGACCCACCGAATACACAATAAGAAGTCCTCTCTGCTATGCAGATCTCGTGACACGATGTCACCTAGCAAGTCATGAAGGTCGCTTGGAATGTCTTGCAATGTCCGCCAAAGCGTATGGATCCGACCGTGATCGTACTCTTTGTTCAAAATCCTTATGACAAGAACAACCCACATGAAAACGCCCGAAGCTTTCTTCCGTATGATAGCTCTGATTCTTTCCGTAAGCTCGCTCTGCCCAATTTCTAGTTCGCTTTCTAGGTAGAATTGGATATCTTCACGATGGCCTTCTTCGCCGTCTAGCTCCAGAGTCAATCCTGTGCGGATTGTAACGTGTGGGTAATATCTACTCGAGAAACAAACCCGAAAATGAGTCTGGGCAGCTACAGCCGATTCGCCGATTCGTTCGAAGAGCCGTACCATATCCCGAATCTGTTCTTCCTCGCATTCGTCTAGTGCATCGATAAAGCATACTACAGAAGCGTCTCCAAGCTTCTTTATAGCTTGCTCAAAAAGGGTTTTTAGCAACTCGACTTCCCATTGGTACTTATTTGGAGAAGATGCTGATAGCGGGACTAAGTCAAGCACGCACTGAAGCGCCGGTTGCTGTTTCAAGAGTTGTAGAAGTAGTGAACGATATGCCCCAATCGTTGACTTCACTATACTCTCGCCCCGCCTGTTGAAGAAGAAGGATATCACGACCTCCCCCGGTGTTTTCTTCCGGGTACGATCAAGAACGAACTTCATTAAGGTAGATTTGCCTGTCCCAGGTTTCCCTTTGATCCAAAGTAAACCGTGGTGTTCTTTTAGCTTGTCGGGATCGAGCCAGTCGATATACTTGGATGTCTTTGCGAACCATGTACAGGTCTCCGAATGGGCGTTCTTAATGGTCGTCTCGCGTGTATGAATCTGATCAAATCCCAGCGATTCCAGAAGCAGCCTGTTGCGTTCTCCGTGGGGCGATGGTTGAATATTGTTTCGTAACCGCCGAAACGCGCTTTCTTTCCCTTCACCATACATGGGCAACATGCTGGTGTTGAAGATACCTAGTAATGAATACGCCTCGTCTTCTTCGCGTGTCGTTTGACGCTTTTTACTCCACAACATCCGGTCTTCGATACTGAAATCTTGAAAAGATGCCCCTCGAAGGACAAGCACGGGGATTTGTGTAATCTGGTGGATCTGGTGCTCTAGACTTGACTTGTCGCCTAAAAACGTGGCTTCCTTCGAGAAGAATGTTACCACTGGTGGCGCAAGTAGCTCTTGTAAAGTCCACCCTCTTGAAAACCATCTACTCATCCGAAAGGCGGGCTCCCATGCGAAGTAGAATTTGTTGCAATCTGCTTTCCGTTTCTTAACAGAGACATCCGACATAAACACGTAACACTTGGCTGAGTTGCGATACCAACGGAACATCGACGTTATTGCCTCTGATAGTTCTGCATTGCTAGATTTGTCGATATAACAGGTGTCGACCCAGAAGAATCGAAGACCATCCTTGGCGGCTTGTTCCATGCAGAACGTCAGCTTACGGTAACTACCAGTCTTCTCCTTCCCTGCACCGTTGAGCAAATCCTGATAGGTGACCTCTTTGCCCGGCCTTGGATCCCATGTGTGTGAAAGAATCGCATATGGTGGGATTTTGTTGCCCTGAAACTCAACAAGGCTGAAGCTACTAGCGTCATCTTGAAGCTGTAAGAGACGCATCGAGAAGACGCTGAAACGTGGCGTATGTAGAGGATGCACATAACCATGCTACAAGAAGTGATTGGGAATTCATCCGGAGGTATAGTGGAGAGTGGTGCAGGTAGCTACGAATGTTGTCCGACGGCTAGGCTGCAGCAAGCTATTGGCGTGGCGCAAGTCTAGAACCCACCCAGCCCTCAGCCTCAAATCTAACCCGGATTATAACGCTGGAGCAATGAAGGAATCTTGGCAGATTGCGCATGACATACTGTGCGCCTTGCGGTCCCCAATTCGATACAAGTTTGGCTGAGTTGCGCAGATCCGGAGTTTGTCCACGTAGAAGTGGAATAACCCCAAAACTATAGGGGCAGATAGAGACAGCCGGTTATCACTCTCAAGGTAATGCCAGGTCTCACATTAGGGCGGATGTAGGTCAAGCTCTATCGTGGCCGTCTGGGCGTATGTAGTAGTTGGGGATGGGTCGCAGCGATGATAGACTGCCGTAGCGCGAACCCTGGGTCTTGGGATGACGCGCTACCACCAAATCCGTCGCGTCCTTCATCGCATCTGCTTCCCTGCGAAGCTCAGCCTTGTGACAATGACGATGGCGCCCGCGTTAGCCACAGATAAACACATTACATCTCGTTATTATATCCGATGAAGATGCCCGGCTATGCGGCACACGGTCAGACGCTTGGCCAAGACGTGCTTGCGCTTCGACCTACATGACGCGTAGCCTTGTTGAACATACCCTCATCCGTTTGTTCGTCGTACAAAACGAATGAGGCGCTCTATACAACGTGTCAGACGAGGTATGCCATTTCAAGGGACCTTCAAAAACTCGCACAACTGACAATCGCAGCATGGCTTGTCCTACCCCTCGGCAGACACCCCGCTCGCTTTCAACGCACGCCCCTCCTCTTACATACCCCGAATCACGACGCCCAATCGGCCAACTCGCAAAGAAGCAACAAAAATGACGGAGACAAGCAGGAGAGAAGCAAGTTTGCGCGGAGTGTGCTTGAAGGAAGCACGGTAGCTCTAATATCACTCTTCGGGCTAGGCCTTGGCGGCTATGCCTACAGCCTATTCTACAAGAGAACGGTTGCGAAGAAGATTGAGAATGCCTTTGCGACAGGGTATAGCTCGCAAGAGCGTGTTGTATTGGGTCGCATCTCGTACGGCACCGAGCCCGAAAAGATTCAAGAGATTGTAGAGAGGGAATACTGGGTTCCACGGGCGGAACAAGAAGACATCGATAATGTCGTCAGCGGAAAAGCTAGGGGAAGATACTACCTGGTCATCGGTGAGCGAGGAACCGGCAAGCGAGCGCTGTTGCTAGAGGCCATGCGGAAGGTCAACGGCGACGGCATCGCTATGCTGGAAGCGCACAACGATCTCGAGGTCTTTCGAACCCGGCTCGGCAAGGCCATCGACTACGAATTTCACGAAGACTACATCGGTGGACTGTTCAGTATCCGCGGACCAAGAGACAGCTCGCCTCTACTAGACATTGAGAGGGCACTCAATCAGATGGAGAAGGTAGCCTTGTCGCTGAGGAAACGACGCGGCAAACCTCTCCTCATGATTATCAACAA